CAGGATGTAAAGTACTTCACAGTATACGTATATAAGGTAGTTACCATCAGCTCCACCTTCACCAGCTGCAGCATTAAAGTGATGAAGACAGTAACACATCAGTCACTATGATCCAGTATCAGAGACATTACTGGGACACGGGCCGTTCTGCTACTCTGGATAGGTAAAGGACCTGAGTACTTCTTCCACCACTGGTACTGTATGTGCAGGTTGCAGAGAGGTGAAAAAGTGGTTTGGCCAGAGGCCAGAGCCGGCATGTTACCGTTGTGCTACAACATGCAGGCGTGCTCTACCTCTGACAGCTTGTTGTGTTCTCTGCTCACCTGCTGCTCCCAGCAGAGGAGGGCTGGTTCTGCTTGTCCTGCAGCTCCTTTGTCTGCTGCTCTGACTCATGTCCTAGTGAAAGACACCTGGTTCATTGTCACCGACTACACATGATTTCACGTCTGAACTGCAGCAGACCTGGCTCTGGGTTGGGTTCAACTTTTTCCCTCTCACCCAGTGAGTCCAGTCTGTGTTTGACTCCAGATCTGAATGTTTTCTGACTATTTATAGCCATCCTGCTCAGCCTGGCAGGCACGGTGTCCTGTAGCTGTGTACCATGACTCACGCTCAGGTATGAAGCTCCAAACGAGGGCGGCAAACGAGAAGGACAGCAATAGCGAGATGATGAACTGGCTAAGGTGTCTCTGCACCTGCAGAGGTATGTTGTTTGACAGCGGATCTGGACTGTGGAGCCTGAGCTGGCAAAGGATCAACACATGACATCAGCTCCACGTTTTCAACTGATGCTGTAATTGATGCTTTGGAGCACATAACAAAATCCAAACTTTTGGAGCTCTCAAACATTTCAGCACAAAACTACAATGTGAGCCTGAGTCAGTCAGTTCTTAGGTTACTGCTTGAAAAAATAAAATTAAACCTTTTTTGACCATGTGCTGAGTTTCTGCCTAATTAAATGTTTGGGACCTTTTTATGTTTATGGAGTGCAATTCACTACTTTTTTCACAGTCAGATAACTTGAAGAAACAATATCAAGTACATAAATTTGTATTTATGTCACATTTCTGTCAGTGTTAGGCAGCTGCACTGAGCAATTATTTCAATGAACATGGCCTGATCCAATGTATGAATGACCAAAGAGGCCTCTGGGGCACAGGTCCAGGGGCCCTCTGTATGTACAAAGTGACTGTTAATATTTCTTGTTTGAGCTCAGTTCAAAGACACTAAACCTTCACAAAGATTCTCTTTCAGTCAGGGTGTTCCTACTGTATACAGGAAGGTAGGGGGGCCTACTACTTGTCTTTGCCCTGGGGCCCACTGTGTCATAAATCTGTCCATGCCTGGACTCAGCAGAAAGCTGATGGATGAACCCATTACAGATTAAGTAACTGGCCCATTCTGAGCCCATGAACTTCCAACATCCGTCTCCTGACAGAAAAAATGTCAGTCTGCAGTAAGCACGATCAAATATTCAAAAGCTTTGTAAATGACATAAAACATCTAAAGCAAAAGTACTGTGTTCAAGTATCATTAACAAAGTGTACATGAAGTAAAGATACTGGCTGGGCAGAATGGCTCCTTTCAAGGTGTTTTAATGTCATGACTAGTCGAGGTGGAGCTAGTGTTAACTACTGTCTACACTGTGTGGTAGTTCCATCTCTAACAATGCTTCATATTTCATAAGTAAATCAAACGTCTATATGTGAGATCACAATGTGAGGAGTAATGCCAGCCATCACTTACAACCAGTGCAGTAAAAAGTACCATTTCCCAATGAAATGTTGTGAAGCTGAAGTGTAAAGTAGCAGGAACGGAAAATACAAGTGCACTGTATTGTACTGAAGCACAGTATTTGGGTAAATGCCTGGTTAAAGCAGAACACTGTTGCCTTTCTACTGTTAACCTTGTGATGTGAAACCTGCCACAGTTTACTGCAGTCTGTTTCACTGCTGATGACGTTAACAAACTGGTATGTGCTGCCTGGAGCTACAGCACAGAACCACACCTACAGCAGTACCAGTACTACTTTATCACTTCTGCTGATCAATTAGTCTGCAGCCATGCTAGCAGCAGCAGAGGAGGTGATGCTGAGGTGTGTTCGGTTAAGAGGAAGGCTTTAGATTGTGTAGGACAACTACAGCACTGGTCAAAAAAGTCCAGGACATTTTAGCCTATCTTAGCACAAAAGCTGGTAGCAGAAGGAAACTGTTGGCCTTGTTCCATCAATGGAGAAAAATAAAACTTCCAAGAATTACAAGTCAGTCTTGTATGTTGTTTATTGAGCAGGTGTAGAAACAGAGACATTGTAGCTGTAGCAGCATTAGCATCAACACTGACTGAATGCAGCAAGCACAGAGTGACGCCGGTCAGCTAAACCAGCTGACTGCTGGCTAGCTGGTTAGCTAACAGAAGGAGGATGGAAGTATTTCACATGTTATCAGCCCATTAAATATCCATTATCAGTTGTTACTGGGACCATACTGGTAGGCCCTAGTCCACCTCCTAGTTGGCTCAGTAGGCCATCATCATGCACCGGACCTTCATCATCATGGCTATAGTTATAAACATGGAGTGTACCAGGTTTACACACAAAAACTACCTAGTTAGGTTTGGGAAAGGATTGTGGTTTAAGTTAAAATACCAACTTAATGAAGTAACAACAATGACTATTGGTTATAAACAGGAAATAAACAATCCTTTTCCTGTTCCAGAGTGTGTTTGTCTTTCACCACCCACCCTGACTTCCTACCTACATGGATACTGTCACTCTTTAAACAACATCACCACAGCATTAATGATCTACTGGCCTACTGGTAGGTGCTTTTTCCCCTCTACCGAAGCAGAACAACTGAGGCGACAACTACTGATAATGTCAAACAAAGGTGTGATGACACTTGAAATGAGTTCTTGGAGGGTGGATTGTGTTCTCCTTTGATTGCACTAGGTTAGCAGTTTTCCCTACTACCACTCTTTGTGCTAAGCTAGGCTAAACATCTGTGCATTGCACACAGATGACACTGATGCATCTGAAACATGCAACTTATTTAATCACTCTGCAATCCAACTTAGAGCTGACAATAAGTGCAGAAAAGAAATTCATCATCATGTTGTTTTGGTGCAGCTGCTGTTCCTTCACATGGGGAAGGAAGGAAAAGCCGGTTCAGTTCTTATCGTCACGCCGCTGTTAGAATTAAATCCGTCCGTCCATCCATCCAGCTTATCTCCTGTTTACAGGTCCCACCCTCTTCCTCCACAACAGCTTCACCGAAACCCACAGCGAGGGGGGAGGGAGGCAAGTGAGCGCAGAAAACCAGGAGCAGTATACTATTTGAAGAATCAAGTCTCCGCGCTGATCATATAAGCGCACTGGCTCTACCGGGGGAAAGGGGGGTAGTTAGGGGTTGGTGGAGGAATGTAATCTAGTGGAACCTTATCTGATCTTGGGGTTTCCAGAGGGGCTTTAAACGCTGCCGGCTGGAATCTGACTGGATTTTCATCTCCCATGTGTAACTCATACAGAGGTCACAAAACACTACTTTGAATAAAGGTAATCAATAATGGACCAATAAAAGTCAGCGACAACACATGTTGTAACAGGCTGGCATACTGATAAGAAGAATAAACCTGAAGCAGTCACAGAGACTGCTCTGCTGAGGGACGGGCTCATCATCAGATCTTTCATCATGACTCTTCAACTCAGAGAGCATATTTTAGTCCCTCTGCGGTAAATGTGCCATGACAAATGGCTGCTGGTGTGACCTCATACTGAGGTAGCTGGACTCACTTCCTGTTTGGAAAACACCACGCACAGCATGAACAGTCAGCACAGGGACGAAGACGGAAGTATCATCAGTGAGGCCAACAGGAAACTGGACCAGAGAAGTTAGTCTGCTGCTGAGTCAACAGTGTCAGCCTCTTATAGGTCATAACTGGAAAAAGTCTGTGCACACTTTAAAGTTTTAAAACACTAAGTCCCAGAGTGTCCTGCACTCTAGCCATCACATGGACTCACTCTGTTAACACAATGTTTGCCTCCTCGGGCACAACTCATAGGGTCGAGACCACCTGGAGAAGACCCACCAATCAGAGGACACCAGCAGCACCTGATGGCACACATCCAAATGAAGCCTCTTACACTTTTATACACATACACACAATAGATCCGGCTGTGTTACAGAAAATTGATTGTAGGCAGTCTGAAAATGGGCATACGTGCATGTCTGGGGCTGTCTGTCGATAGCAGGAAGCTCACCTCCACACCTAATCAACCAGTAAGAATATTCCATTCATGTAGTATATGAAAACACACTGTACTAGTGACGGGCCATGTTACTGAACAGTGAGCACTTTTATATTTCCGTTTTACCAGGAAGCCCATTGAGATCAAGATCTGTTTTTCAAGGGAGACCTGGCCAAGATGCCAGGCATACGAGTTTAAAACATGCTTAATACTTTTACCAGACCGAGGCTCACAACACAGGACTTTTGCTTGCATGGAGTATTTTTCCACAGCAAGCTGTGAGTCCAGCACAGTATAGGTGGAGGACAAAGACAACCACAGCTTTAAGCTACACGCTAACATCAGCTGCTAAGACTAAAGTATAGTGTTACCATGGTTACCAGTTTAGCCTGTTAGCATGCCAACATTTAAGAGCAGCTGAGCCTGATGGGAACCAGAGCTGCAGTGATTATTTGATTAAAAAAAAATCTGCAAAAATTTTTAAAAATTAACTGTTTATGTGATTTTTTTTTTTTTAGCAAAATGTAAAATCACTCTATGGTTCCTGGTTCTCTAATGTGAGAATCAGCTGCTTTTCATTGTGACTTGAATGATTTTGTGGGTTTTTGTTGAACAAAACAAGATACCGAAGGTGGTGACCCTGGACTCCAGATAGATAACGTGGTTCCATTTTTCAGTTTTCTGACATTAGATATAGACCTAAGGATCAGACAGTAAAGGTAAGTGTTGGCTGCAGCCCTGGATAAGGACGTCATTTGGACATAAACCAAAGTACTGGACACACTAACAAGGTGATCTGATTAAAAGTCAGAGGATTGCAGACTCAGTTCATCCTGAGGGCAACGTGACCATCTGGACCACATTTAGCTGTCGAGATGTTTCTGTCTGGTCCAGCGTGTTGGACGGACAGATGGACAGTGACAACAAGAACATCGGGCCCCACTATAGTCCCACTGCCTCCACAGGGCTTTGTAAGGCCTGTCTCTGAGCAGCAAAGTTTAAATGGCTGTCATTTCTTATTCTTCTGCTTCATTGCACTGTAACTCATCTTTACTGTATTGTGTGATTTTTTTTCCGTCTGGTCTTAAAACTCTTGTTCAGTCCTGTTGCACTGTAAATGGCCTTGGTGCTGCTGTACAAATGACCTCTCCTCTTTGTCAACCCCTCCTGATGGTGAGCCTTGTGCCTTAACTCAGGCTATGGACTACAGACCTATCATAGCTTCAGTGATCCCTGGGGAGATGAGCTCATGTTTGGATACCAGACTCCATTTAGAAATGTGGTATTTTTCTGCCATACAAGCCTTCGGGTGATGTAGGCCCCAACAGCACCCGAGGAGCTCATTCCAGTCCTGTATTTATTTTCTAAATAAGTGCTGGTGAAAGTGTAAGATGTAGACTATCACGAATGGCGACTGACGATTCGCTTAACACTTGAAATCAAACTGGACCACAAGCAAGGGTGAATTAAATTGCCTGATTTTTGAGCGTAGTTTGGCGTGTGACTGTGATATCGAGTGAAAACAGAATTAAGCTCTGACACACCTGAAACTGTTCACTCTCTGCGACTGTAAAGGTAACTCCAGGTTAGTCCGACAGTCACTACAGGCGGTTTGCAGTAATTTAAAGTCCTTCCCGCTATGTCATCGGTTCGCTTCAGTGGCTGGAGGTTTACATGAACAACAGCTAAAGGTAACGACACGGTAAAAAGTTACCCCATGTGACCTGCTTGTTGTTAACGTCCCGACAGGTGACCCACCTTCAGCGGCGCGTCCAGCAGCTTGTGTATCCCGGCGATCTGCTCACTGAGCGGCAGGTCCTCCTCCAGGTTCACCGTCGGAGGTCTCCGAGGTTCGGGGAAGTTTGTGCAGATGAATGGATCAGAGTCCTCCAGGTACTGGACCCGGCAGGTGATGGAGGCCATGGTCGGATGGCCGCAACCTGCCTGCGGCTACAGGTGTGTTAATGGTTCGGAACAACCTATCCTCCACTGGAAGAGCCGATGAACTGAAGAAAGTCCGCTGGTCTCTGCGGTGCCACCGGAGCCCTAAAGCTACAGGAAATGTATAACTGTACATCCGGTACAGTCCTTCAAAATAAATGCAACAATTTTATGACAAAATACCAATTACAGTGGAGGGGTCATCCTTTTTATGTGTCTGTGCAATACAGAGTTTATGTGGTGGTAGAAGGTCCAACCAGCTCCATATACTGACCATCACTGACCGTGGTCAAAGTGTTTATTTGTCACATGCACAGTTAGTAAACGTGTTTCCCTGTACAATGAAATTCTTACTTTGAATGCCACATAATACAAGTGAAATATGAAGTAGATGAGCAATAACACAAATCTAAATAGGCAGCAAAATCACAATTCTAAGGCACTTTAAAGCAGCAAGTGAAGGGAGCAAATAAGAATACAACGGTGTCCACTCTTATTCATTCCAACCAGGGCACAGTGAAACTTGTTAGCAACCACAGTTCAAACATAGCAGAGATGGGGCTGACAAGAAAGCCAGAACAAAGGAAAAGCACATTCCAGTGATGATCAGTGTGATTTGGTTTCTTCGAGCTGCAGTGTGCACGAGGCTGCTGCTGAGCATCGATTTGATATGCTTGCACTGTTAAAGTAGACAGAGTCTGTGGAGTTAAACTATGGAGTTATTTAAGACACTGGGAGTTATGAAGTAAATCAGTAATGTCGTTGTGTTGCTCTGTGTGTGCATGTGTCTTGTTGAAGTTGTCAGTGTCAGCAGACTGGTTGTGCTATTGATTTATTCTAAGAACAGGGCACTCTCCTTGCACCATTTTTATCACATAATTCTCCAGATTGTTCTCTGTAACGTTTTGTTTTGTTTTTGTGTGGAAATGAAACAAGGAATTATTTGTGACGACTCCACGGGTGATACTATTTTGTAGGAGGACGTCCGGTTTGGTGAGAGACGAGTTGATGAGTGAATTGCCCGCTGGTGACGCCACACCAGTCCAGCGTGGGAATACAGAAGAATGACGTAATGCCCAGGTGAATGGAAACCGTGTGAAGCTGCAGCTTTTCTGAGGTCAGTTTGCAGCCCATACACCTCATAGCAACACACGAAAAAGAAATTTGTCACCCTTTGACACAGCTGAGAGGTGCTGAGGCTGAGCAGCGTCCCCTGGTGGCTGAACCCACCGCAATAAGGACTTCAGTGTTGCCTGTCTCCCGAGGAGTTCCGAGTCTTTTCATACATTTAAAGCTGTTTCATCGCAGTTTGTTCCTCACACAGTTTGTACAGTGACAACTCAGCATTAAGGTTCAGTCCTGTTAAATGACCTGGCTGGCACCCCACTGCGGCCCATTAGCCCACGTTCTGACCTTCAGACATGACTTCCTGTAGCATCTGCAGGTCCAGATTCACCTCCATTTGTTTTGAATTGCTTTCAATTTGTTCACTGAAATAGTTTGAACTATTTCTAGGAAACAATATATACTATTTTTGAAAATCAAGTTTGCACTAATGTTGCAATTTGTGTTTAGTCCAGCAGGTGGCAGTGTTGCCATGTGTTTAGGCTCTGGACAGCTTGCAGGGTGATTGCATAAGAAAAGTGATGAAACCGGCTCTTTCTCTCTCTCTTTCTCTCTCTCTCTCTCTCTCTCTCTCTCACACACACAGACTTTGGCCACACTGATAAACTAAGACAGTGCTGGTTTCTTCCTCTCAGCTGTCTGTCAGCCAGTCAATCAATCATGAAACGGTGATCTGTGACACATGAGGACACACCTGCACAGACCTGGCCTGCGCAGGGCCCTGATCTCCACCCTGTCCAATATTTGGTAAGCATGTGCATTCAATGTTTCTCCCCAGATTCCCTGCATGGATTCTGAGGCTGGACAGATGTTGAAAACATCTTCCTTGCAGATGTTTGGAAATATTCCAAGCCTGCATGTTTATATCTGACAGCTCGAGGCCGTCTTCTTTTTTTAGCATGCATTCACTCCCTGTTGTTGTTAAAACAGGAGCTGCTGAATCACATGATGTTGATCTCTTGACTGACCTCTGAGCTGAAAACTGGACCTGTGGTTCACAAGGTTTCAGCTGCTAACCCAGCTGAACTGTAACACACAGTCAGACTGGGACTGCACTAGTCTGACCACAACTGGTGACCACACTCTCCCACAGGAGTCACCCTGCAGTCTTCAGAATACAGACAAGTTTTCCCTCCATTGTGATTTGGGCTGCTGCTCCACATGCTGCTGGAAACGGATCCATTTGCCTCACTCAGCACTTTGCTCTTTTTAAGTAAGGAAAGTAGACGGCAGGGGTGGAGAAGAGGGGAAAGAATGGAATAAGGAAAGAAATGAGACAGCAATGAGGAGGTGAAGATGGATTGGTTAAGGAAGTTACTGTAAGTAGGATATAGTAAAGGTACAAAGTGGAGGAGGTAGGGAGGGAAATGTAGGATAGGAAAGGAAGGGGAAAAGGAGGTATGAAGGGAAAGGAGGAGATAAAGAATAAAAGGAAGAAGTAGGACAAGAAGTGAGGCTGTGAGGAAAGAGGATGATGAAGAAAATGATA